ATACAGATAAAATAATTGCAAAAACAAAACAAACTAACAAAGAAATTCAATTTTTATATCATTCAAGACAAATAATCTATCATTTATTATAGTTCATTCTGAATCTCAACAGTGAAATAACTTTACCCAAATTTAACCATATCAGTGTTCTAATCAATATCTTCATAAACTCTATCCGTAAGTGATTCAACACCAACTCCATTGAATTAGTGCTTGGTAGGTTAAGGATTAACGAGAAATTCTTATTTTTAATTGCAACAGACGAGTATTTTTTTTTTGTCTTCATCAAAAAGAGAATTTAAATACAATTAAACTCTAGTATGGCTTTAATTCCTTCTTAGTTTTCAACAGATTGCTGCATTATGATTCGCACAGAATTTTAGTCATTTATGATGCATTCAAACATAATCGTATATTGTGTCTACTGTCTTTAACAATATTCAAGCAACTATTCTTTTCATTCCAGTCAATCACTTGATATTTTTGTTTTGTCGTAAAACATCTTATGCTATATTGAAAACAATCAACACTTTAAATTATATAATTGTTTTATTATATTGTTGATAAATTGATTCTCATGGTAAACAACCATGAAATTACATGACAAATATAAATATGGAACCAATCAATTAATCAACAACTTGTTCAATATGAAATCTGGTCATTAATACGTTTTGTTTTTTGGTCTTCGAAAATTTCTAAAGATTTCGTCTTCTACTGAAATACAAATAAAAATAAAATAGAACGATTGAATAATTTGGCTTACTTCTGAATTATCAAAATAAGCTAGTATAAGAGCTGATAAACCAATAATAGGCGTTATGCCTCCCTATAAGAAAAAAATGTTACTAATTTTTGCCAGAAGTTTAATCTTAATTTGTGAAGAATTTTCTTGTTACTGATGTTCTGTCACTCAGCATGAAGAAGTGTGGCGGCGGTATGTTTATCTTTTTATTTCGATTCTTCTCACCGGTAGGTCAATTAGATTATGAACGATGACAATAGATTACATCGATCAATATATAGTTTTCTTTTAAACACCCGTAAGGTTAAAGAATCTTAATCGAACAATAAATAAAATATTCATTATATTGATCCTCACACCTTACAATTGATAGAGAGACATAGGAAAACTATCATTGCTTTTTTGTTCATATTTTACTGTTGAGAAAAGAAATAGAATTCACAAATCTCTTGATACTTCTATGGCTAAATGATGATCATCTTGATTCGTTTCGAGTGTCTTTTCCCATTTAGTTATTGATTGATTGATTGATAACATGATTTGTTCGTACACTACGTTACTTTTTGTTTCTCGTCTGTATATTTATCATCAACATTTGTAGATCTTCACACCTATATGATATCAATTCACAACGTAACATATTCGTAAATAATATTTTAGTTTCTAACATAATCAAAATTAAAAACAAAATAGAAAAGATTAAAAGTTTGACTTGTTTTCAAAGAAGAATCTTTTTCATGGGATTAAGAAAATTGATGATATGAACAATTTTGTAACGTTTACTCGTATTTTTGTCGATGGAAAGGATCAGATCTTTGTTTTTGTACGTGATTCTTCATTTAAAATAGTCTCAACAACAGAAAAAAAGATCTTAAGTTAGACATTGAATCGAACAGCTTGAACTTAGTTGGAAATGATGTCATTGATTTCTAAGCCATTTCTTCTAATATACAAAATCTTTTTAGCTACACGGAAATGTGAATGCTGATAAATGACCTCGAAATCTTCATTGAAATGATAGATTTTTGAGTTTATAATTATTTTCAATTTAAAATCACTTACTAACTGGTTTTTATTTCCAACATTACAGGAAGGTAGAAGGAAGAATACCTCTGCCTAACAGCAAATTTAATAGTTTGATATCTTCCCTACAACGATGACTAGCTGTAGGTTTGGACAGATGGTCTACCTGATGTAGAGTTCTTGCGCTTAACGTAATCATCATTCTATCAGACGAATGATCCGAGACAAATAGCCATCAGTGACTTGTTCAGTGTCATTCTATGGCTGGTGGTTTTGAGATCTGCACACAGTATCTTATGGATACATGCAGAGTCAGAACATTACAGATAATAGAATAAAACTTAAAACCTCTCCATAAATGATCAAAAATAAAAGTCGACTCTTATAGTTTAGGTGTATACATTTCAAGACCGATTGTAGTACAGATAAAGCGAATATGTTGGGCATCTTTTGATTATGTGACTTTCAAATTAATCACGTTTAACTTTCAAAATCTTTACCGAAAATATTTGTAAAACATAGTTTACAACAACGAAGAACTCATTTTATCGAAAAAAACAAAAACCATTTTATTCAAATTGAAAAAATGTAATTTAGCTGTTGTCTACCATGAGTTCATCGATTAGTCGCCCGTAGTGTTATTGTTTAACCAATTAATGTAAATCAATTAGCGTATCAAATAGGCTTGTCATTTTTCTTCCTCTTCTAATCTATCAATTGATTTCATCCAATAAAATAAACATTTTTCTATACATTGAATAAGTATTGGTCGAGAGAAAAGTGAGAGAAAAAAATTCATCGTCTACAAATAGATTTTGCATCTGGTGCATTAACTTCATTCTACTGACAACATTTCTAGTGTTCACTTCACTAATTCTCATCATGGAAGACGATCGTAGTACTAGTCCATCAAGTATTGCTTCAAGTCATGATGAACATGAATCTGATGCACCAGAAATTCGAGTATATCAACCAACATTTAAGTACGTATTTTATTTATTATTTTAAAAAAGAAAATTGAATTTTAACTTTTTTGTTTTTAGTTCACTTTGGTTTCCATTTACACCATTACGTAATTCACCTATCTTCAATTCAATATCTTTTCAACAACCAATACGTTCAATTACGCCAATAGTTCGACATAATTTCAAGAGTATTGATGAACTACTTTCTCCTATTCCTAATTCTATATCTTCTACTCCCTCTCAACGAAACGGTAAGGCAAATTTTTAAATTTACTTTTGATTTTTTAGATAAACATCAGGTAAGTAGAATACGAGAAAAGTATTATTATGTATTTTCTAATTTATAAAATGATTTTTTCATAGAATTATCATCAAGTTTTGTTTTTGTTGTTTAGATGATACTGGTTACAGTTCACAATTATTATCTGGTTCTTTACTTTCGTTACGACAAAGTCGTGAATCCATTGATTCACAAGAAAATGAGCATGATATGGAAAATATAAAACCAGCAGCATCATCATCACCAATAACAGAAATAAAAAAACAAAATAATGAATCGGTATTTTCAATAAAAAGCAAAACAAATTTTCTTTTTCAATAACTTCATTCATTTTTTTTGTTTAGAAAAATAATAAAACAAAAAAAATTCGTACAGCATTTACAGATCATCAAAAACTGAGTCTTGACCGTTTTTACGCCACAAATCGTTATCCAGATCCAACACAAATGGAAACACTTTCACGTTTATTATCACTTGAAGAAAAAGTTATTCGTGTTTGGTTTCAAAATAAACGATCACGAGAAAAAAATCATCCACGAAATCAATTATCTATTCATCAACCATCTAATCCAACAGCAGCTATGGCTATTTGGCAACAATATTCATCATCACCAAATTTTCCTCATTGAAAATAAGACAATGAACTTTGTTTTTTTTTTATTTTATGTCCGCAGTATAATGTATATATTGATATACTTGTTTAATAAATAGAAGAGAAAAAAATCAACAGTTTATAATTAAAAGAAGTGATGATTATAATAGCTGTCAATAGAATATTGTCATCGATGTTGTTTTTCTTTTCGAGAGAGAACGAAATAACTCAAAATGAGTGAATGATTTTCTTCAAAACAGCTGTCTGTTCCACTCACTCATTTTTTCTTATAAGAGAAAGTAGAACAAAAATGTTCATATTTTATGAACAGCTTGTATTATAATGTGACATTCAATAGGATGAGCAATCTTTGTTCAGCATTGATCTGTAGTTGTTTGTTATCAGTCATAACATTGGACAAGCACAAGTTTTATTATTTTTCTGATGTTATTGAAAGTCTTTAGTATATTCGCCTTTCTCTTTTCTATTATAAATCCTTTATTTTTGTGGTTGGTGGAGCAGATAAAGGAACACATAAAATAATCATTAAGTCTCGTGAGACATGCAATGTAGGTGAAATGATAACGAAAAATAAAAAAACTCATTGATTTCTCAATGGATAATCATTGAATATCACATCAAATTACTAAGATAAAATATTATTCGAAAAGACATATTCAATAATATACTATTTCCGAATGGTATTGCATATTAATGAGCGAGATTAACCGTTCTTGATTCTGGTTTCATTCTTAGTATAAATGTATTAGTGAAAAATGCGATATGATTTTCTGGTAGTGTTAGTGTCTTCGAGATATTTTGCAAGACCAGCATGGCTTCTGATGTCCTCCGTCTTGAAAACCCATTATGTTTTTTTTTAATTCACTAATACTAGATTTATTCTACACGTTTATATGTTCAAAATCTCCGTTGTCTATGAAAAAAAGGATTAACTTTATTATCAAATGTATATCAGTAAATATTGAAGTAATCGTTACTCCATAATTTTCGAAAAAGTTTTTAGGATATGTGAGCTGCGAGAATATGATTTTTGATATAAGTGTTACACGACGATAAAAAATACCATTTCTAATAAAAAGCTGATGATTCAGGCGCCGGTCTCGACGGAACTGGAACCATCTTGTTCATATTTGGAATTGTATATTAAAAGCATAATTGTTAATAATCATTTTGTTTTATTTTTTTTTATTATTTCATTTCTTTTAATTGTTTGGAACAAAACTCAAGAATAAATACTTATAAAAAAAATCAATAAAAACAAACTATACAAATGGTAAAACCATAATATAAAGTTATTTTTTGACAATAAAAAAATATTAGATCATATACTTTATTGCACTGACAAATAAAAAATAGACAGCAAAAGAAAAACATTTAAGTTATTAAAGAATCAACGTCTTGATATATACGGCTTGCTGTACAATCTTCTTCAAGATTATTTAATTCGATAACAGTTACATAACGTTCGGATGTATCATCATCTACACCAGTATCATTTGTTGGCCGAGAATAATAATGATATTGAGGATTTTGATATATTATACCCGATCCACTACCATTACCTATTTCAGCATATAAATCACTGCTAGTTGTTGCTCCTTGTTCACTATTTACAGATGAATAATAATTTTCATTGAATTGTTGTTCTTGTTGTCTTTGTTCTTCTTCTATTTGTAAATATTGAGCACGATCTTGTAAAGATTCACGTACTATAACTTCCTCATAATAAGGACGGCGAGTAGATCTATTGTCATGATCATTAGCTATTGTGTTTGCAGTTGTATCCGTATGAACTTGAGGTGGCAGAGGGGGTAATGGTGGTGGTAGTGAAGGAGAAGGCAGATATTCAGGAGTTATGGTAAATCCAGTTGAATGTAAATTTGTCGAAGATATTGGTTGTGATGAAGAACTAAAATCACAAATAAAAAAGTATTGGACATATTTGTTTGTTTCAACGAGACTAATTGAAAATCACATAAACATTCTATTCTAAATTTTTATAGAAAATCATATACAAATACGGACAACTAGGTAATGTTATTAACAAACTCAATGAAATGTAATTTCTATAATAAAAGATCTATAGTTTTTGCTAATCCATATGCAATGAATTGTTGATTGATATTTAACATTGTAATAAAGAAGAATAAGTTAACAATATGTTGTAGTGTGAGAGAAACATCTGATAAGAAATATTAATGAATCTATCGATGACTAGGATTTCTTTCTTTTTATCTTCTCTTAATTTACTACCAAAAGATATCAAATCATAGTTTCATCTATATTCGTTATTAACTTACACAGTAGTCGACGTAATTAATGAAACTTGTCGAAGAGTAACATCAGTAGTACTTGTTGCATTTGTTTTTATTCGTATTTTATTATTAGCTGTTCTTGTTTTATTAATAGTAGCATAAAGTTCTGTATCATCATCATATATTTGTTTTTGTAATTGTATTGGTGTTGTTTTTGTCTGCTTACCATATTCTATTGATCCTGTTGATATTCGATCAACATTCATAACACCGATTTCTCCATCATCTGATGAATCAACAATTTTTTCATAAACAGATTCAATTGGTACAACTGGCATATCTGATAATAATGGAAGTGGTGCTATAGTAATTGTTGATATTTTTGAATTAGAATTTGTATCATCAATATGTGTTGATGATATGCTATATGTAGAACGAGCACGTTTAAGACAAGAACAAAATGAAAATTTCATAATGATTAAAAATGAACTATAAATTCATCGGTCATCTAATCCATCGAACGTTATTTTTCATTACAACTTTCATCTAAAATTTAATATTATTTAATACTAAAACACTGCAATTCTTCTAACTAAACTTATAGCAAAATGAATTATCTAACTAACAAAAAAAATATTAGAAAAATATTAAGCTTAAGATAAAAGAAAACTATAATAAAGATAAATATTAAAAAAAAGACTAGTGCAGCTAATCTGCCATGTACTACTTGACTTTACGTTGATTTATTTTGACGACCAACAAATGTATCCATTGATTTATGAAGACCAATCATTTCATGTATTTCAAGTTCGGCTTCTATTGGTATAATTCTAACACGAAAAAAAAAACAAGTACATGGAAAAGTTCATTTTTTCTTCAGTTGTATTAAAACCTGTGCAGGATAAGTGGAATCATCAATGATTTTGGTATAAGTACTAAATACTTATTTTGTCGAATACCTTTAACAATTGCATCACAAACTTTTTCTTGATCTAACAGTGGTGTTAAGTCACTAAAGATTGAAAAACATAAAAAATGAAACCATTATAAACGTTATTTACTTACTTAGAAGCAGCTCCTTCAAACATACCAGTGTTAATAAAACTTGGACAAACAACTGTTGTTTTAATGCCACGTTTTCCTAAACCATATAATTCATGTCTGAATAAATATATATATATATATGTTTAAACTTAACTAATGAAGCAAAGGTCATTCTTACGTTAAAGCTTCATGTAAACCAACAGCAGCAAATTTTGATGAGCAGTAATCAACCAAACCCGATACACCACCTAAACCAGCACCACTTGCTATTGTTACAACATGACCATGATTATTATCTAGCATTGATGGTAAAAATGCTTTGAGGATCTACATTCAAGGATAATGACAACGTGATAGAATCGATAATATTATCATATTAAATATGGAAAACATGCTCTCAGTTCTGGTGAAACCAGTAATAAACTCTTTTTTTTGTAATCGTAACAGGGACTGGGATAGAAAGCGGATGGTTCTGCTCATCACTACGTCATACCCAAAAATGAGCGATGACATTAACATCAAATGTACGTTGAATCGATGCATCACTACAGTTTATTAATGGTTTGCCTGAAACAACGCCAGCATTATTGATTATCATTGTTACATGACTAACAGTTTCTTGAACCTATGTGTTTTATATTAAAATACATATCGTTTTCACATATATATGACTTACCTTTTTGGCACATGCATAAATATCTTCCTTCTTTGTTAAATCACATTTCATAGCATGAATGCGTTTTGAGTTAGTGGCTGTATTCAGCTCTTCTGCTACAAGAGCATTATTGGCTTCATCGATATCCCATAGAATAAGTGTACAACCAAGATGAGCAAGTCGTTGAGCTACACCTTTTCCAAGTCCACTAGCAGCACCAGTAATGAGAACAATTTCCGAACTAAGATCTTTCAGTGGAGCATCACCACGAATGAGATTGATTAGTGCAATAAAACAATGTTTTAATTGTATCAAAAGTATGATGAGATGCTGTTTGATGACTTGTGCACTAGCCATGACTTAATGAAATCTAGAAGAATGTGTTTATGATGATTATACTTGTCAAAATAACAAGAAAAAATTGTGTGGATTATTGTTGAACGACACTAAGAAGTTGTCGTTTGTTGAGTACGACTTAGTATATGTTGTTATTAATAAACTTGTCATATGATAACAAAAAAATAAAAATGCGATTTGATAAGATGTAAGTATATTAGGTATATGGAAAGAAAATATTCTATTAACAAAAAAAAAGATAAAGGAATTAAAACGTACCTGATTGTGTTAAGAAAAAAGTTGATTCATTAGTTCTCAATAAACGGTCAATATTTAATAAATATATAATAAGTAGGATCATTGGCTTCGATGTGGAAGGAGCTGGGCTGAGCTAATCCATCCCCCCACCCACTTGTTACGTCCTGTCTACGAGAACTTTGAACTATTATTAAAAAACTGTCTAGCTAGTTTACGAAGACAGTTTCTGTCAGTTAATTTTTTGCTAGATAGACAACCTTCGACTATCTATCAAACTTTTAGCTTCTTATGCTTCTAGAAACTATCGAGAGCCCTTGGTAGGACAGAATAAATACCAGTCTCAGAGTGTTTTTCTGCAATACAACATATTAGTCAATTTTCGTCATTTCGAAATCGAGTTCAAATCAAAACAACAAGATTTTCGTTCTCTGTGAAATCGTATTGTATTTTTGACTTTTATGTATTGGTACATGTTATTTGGAAAATGTGATTCAAATTGATTAGTCTAGTCAATTAGCGCATTGATTGTTCGAAGATCAATGATCGTTATCAACATAAGACAGAAAACTGTTAAAATAACACTATCAAGTTGAATGAAAACCTGTAATACTACACAATAATATTTAAATCTTTAATCATATTTATCTATCTTATTTATTTCGTTGATGGGTACTAGAGGTATTTCTAAAATTTAATAAACGCGAAAGAAATATAGTGTCTAAGAAGAAATAAAAAGTTTTGTAATGTCATGCGAAGTCACGAATCAGCGTTTAATTCAATGATGTTGTGATAAAAATCTTTTGTTTTGTGTCGGTAACGATCATCAGTCTTCGAACTATCAATGCACCAACTTGTTAGACAATTTAATTTGAATGAAATTTTTTCAATAAGATATAGCAACAGATAAAAGTCAAAAGTAATATACAGTTTTTTAGAGAATAAAAAACCTCATGTTTTGATTATAAAATTCATTTTCAAATAACGAGAATAGACTAATACATTGCAAAAGAATACTAAGATTGCCATTTATTCTGCTTAGTCTGGTTAATATGAACACTATATCAAGTAAGATCACATTAAAAATAAAAACAAACTGAAATAGACTGTTTAACAATCAATTAATTTTTTTATGAATGATCATAATATTTTACCATACAAATCAATTAATCTGTAAAAATAAGAAAATCTGTAAAATCACAAATGTAAATAAAGAACTAATTTTAATAAGTTTGAAAAACAAATGAACTCAATATTTTCATTGACGTCCAACAAAAGTATCCATGGAATTATGAAGACCAGTTGTACCTTGTATTTCAACTTGAGCTGCTGTTGATGATATACTAGTTTCACATAACAATAAAAAAATCACTATTGAAAAAACAACAACGATTTATCTTTTTTTGCAAACCTTTTCAAAAACAATCCAAATCCTAAGACTTTTGGTATCAATAACATATGTTGATCTTTTCGTATAGCTTCAACAATTTGATGACAAACATTATCAGGTTGCAACATAGGCAACAACACACTAACAAAAAGAAAAACAAACATATATTAAACGAAGAAGAAATTTTCAATGTTCTTACCTAGTAGAAACACCTTCAAACATACCAGTATCAATAAAACTTGGACAAACAACTGTTGTTTTTATACCAGTCTTCTTCAGCACATACAATTCATGTCTACAATAATTTTCAGTGCTTTATCAAAAATAAATTAATCCTTACGTTAAAGCTTCATGTAAACCAACAGCAGCAAATTTTGATGAACAATAGTCAACAAGACCTGATGCACCTGTTAGACCAGCACCACTGGCAATTGTTACAATATGACCATAATTATTATCTAGCATTGATGGTAAAAATGCTTTGAGGATCTATATGCAAGAATAATCGATAAATGATAGAATAAGTAACATCGTCATACCCAGAAATGAGCGATAACATTAACATCAAATGTACGTTGAATCGATGCATCACTACAGTTTACTAATGGTTTGCCTGTAACAACACCAGCATTATTAATAATCATTGTCACATTGCCAAATTTTTCTTGTACCTAATTAATGTGAATAAGCATGAATATTTTACTTTAATTTTTTTTTGTTGAACACTTTTTTTTTTACTTTTCTTGCACATTCATAAATACTTTCTCTATTTGTTAAATCACATTTCATAGCATGTATACGTTCTGATTTCGTAGCATTGTTTAGTTCGTTCGCAACACGTGCATTATTAACTTCATCGACATCCCATAGAATAAGTGTACAACCAAGAGACGCAAGTCTTTGAGCTAAGCCTTTTCCAAGACCACTAGCAGCTCCGGTTATAAGAATTATTTCTGAATTAAGATTTTTTAGAGGTGGACTATTAGTAAATGATGCGAATAAATCACGAAACCAATGTTTAAATAAAATATAAAATAATTTAATATATTGAATGGTAATTTCTTTAACAAACATTAGTTTATTTCAAATCTGAAAATGTTTTTGTTTTTTGTACTGTAAAGTAAATATTAAGTAAAAACTATTCAATCAAACAATGTTGATGACCTGCAACGATCTTATGCTTATCAGACTGTCTTAAGATAGTTCAAAATGTAAAATAGTTATGTCAAGAAAAAAAGAATCTAACTGCATTATTAAAATTAAAAGCTTTAAAACTATTCGACGTCGAATTGTATCATCTATAAATAGGTCTCTCGTGACGACTAGTAAATGTCTTCATCGTATGTTTTGTTTAAAAATAAAATCTAATTTTTCAGCTTTGACGTGATCCTAATATTCCTATCGTCTAGTATTATAAGCATATGCTGGTTTTTGTTAATCTCTTTCATAGTTTTATCAAATATAACTTCTATTTTCAAAAATGGAGCTCTTTTTTGTGTTAAACATACAAAAAATCTCATTAATAATCATCCTTTCTTCTACTGTTTTAATAAAAATGACTCTTGTTTTAATACCATCTTTATTAAAACTATGTATAAACCAGGCACCACTGAACAATCGTTACAATATGATCATGATTATTATTCAACATTGACTGTAAAATGCTTTTAGGACATACATTCAAGGATAACCTATGCATAATAGAACCAATAATATCATCTTACCTAAAAATGAGCGATAACATTCACATCAAATGTACGTTGGATGGATACATTACTGCAATTTGCCAGAAGCAATACAAGAATTATTGATAATCATTATCATACGACCGACAATGTCTTAAAACTGTGTTTTAAATAAAAATATATTTCGTTCTGACGTATATTTTCTTTACCTTTTTCGGCACATTCGAAAATACTTTCCTTTTTTGTTAAATCACATTTCATATCATAAATGTGTTCTGAGTTAGTGATTGTATTCAGTTCTACTACGACACGAACACAATATGCTGTAGAACAAGTGTACAATCAAGATATTGAGCAATCATTTTACCAAGTTCACTAGCAACATCGTTAATGAGATTGTTTAGTGTAATGAATCAATGATGTAATAATATAAAAAATATGGTAAGATGTTATATTGGATGATATGTGTCCTACCTATGACTTATTCATATATCTAAAATAAGTTCAGACAATAAAATGTTTTGTCATTATGAAGATTTTATTAATGTTGGAATGAAACGAGAATCAAGAATATTTCTTTTTGTCTAATGTCGAGCAACGCGAACAATTTTTCTTTTACCACCCTTTTTTCCATCCGATTGATCATCTTCATCTTTATTATTTCCGCTACCACGTAATTGAGCATAAGGTGAAAAGAAAAAGAGCATGATGGCTTTATAGATAGCATACAATGGGATCTAAAATAGAGTTCAGCTTTACCAAGAAATAAACATAACTGTTTTATACACACTGCTAAAATTAACCACCAGAAATATCGATGTAAAAGACTAGCAGATTGAGTAATAACAATTGCCAATATTATATCTTTCGCATATCTACATAAATATAGTAAAACTTTTATGTTAACTTAATTTTCTTGGAATCAAGTAGTGTTTAAGATCATTTTGATCTTTTATAAATAAACTATGAAAACTAGATTTCATGAAAAGTGTTATTAATGTTGTAATGCAAACACATATCGACTATTGGACATATGACTTCTGATATCTTTTATGTGATAAATAAATCTTACTCAGAAATACTGCCTTCAAGATTTAGATCAGTGACACTACCAGTCGGTTTCTGTGTTCCAACTTGACGCATAAATGACCATACATACCATCCAATAGCAGTTGATAATACAAAGAGTATCTATCAACAATACATCAAACAAAATAATCCATAGCTATTGATTTTTTTCCTTTGTTGAATACTTACAAGAGAAACACGAGAAAGTCCTGTAATAAAATAAAAGATGAAGTGAACAGCAATGAAAGTGACCTATTAGATATTTTTTTGTTTCGCCGTTCATTATGAATTTAGGTAAAGAAATCTTACATCAGCAATAAATAAAATGTTTTTGTAAAATTCTATTGTTTGAGCATTGTCTTTGGCTATTTGTGCGTCACCTTTTGTTGCTTGTTTTCCTTTTTTCTATGAAAGGGAAAACAAAGCAGGAGTATTTATCAGATATTATAGATAAAAGAATATACCTTAGTACTACTATCTGCACCAATTGAAAACATTTGAATATGGAATGAAATTGAGTTTTTGATAAGTGTTGTATTTTCAGAACTTAATGGAGTGCGGTATACGCGTACTTACGAAGTGACGTGTACGTTTGTTATCTGTAAACTACAATATACCATCGGTTGATAATCAAGAGCAAATAAGTGGTCTATGTTAGATTCCACATAGATGGCGCCGGCAAATAGAATAAAGAAGCATGATTGAATATCTGAGATAAGACATATAGATGATGAGTGTTGTTGATATAGAAAAACTCTTTATCAGTATTTATCATTAGAATGCTTAATATTTCTTAAACAGAGCTGCTTCAAACGGAAGACTCTCGGAAGTATCTCATCTGCCTTCCAATTATGAAACGTTTTCGTCACTTCCAGAGAACGTCATAGGGCAATCTGTTTCATACTGCCCTATATTCTACAGAATATTATCAATAAACCATCCTATTTTGCAAGACGCAGGACAAGGCCTCAAAGAGTTTATCCTGGTAAGACAGAGGATCCTTTTGTGCCCAACCTACAGGACGATCTTTTCATTGCGCTTTTGACAAGAATAAAAAATTGTCTGTATATGGAGTGCGATGTTAAAAATCACTTACTATATAATTATGTTAATAAACCTTACGACTTGTTTCCCAAAAGAAATCAAATACATTTAAAAAAGAAACATTTGATATCCATAAGGTGAACAAAACAATAAATAAACAAATATATATGTACAGAATTTACAATCTAATCAATACAAATAGATGAACAACGATAAAGAATGAGTTTTATTTTTATTATTTTTTCGTGAATTCCTCGTACAACCGAATAAATAATATGCTATTAATTTGGCTTGATGACAAACGTGTTTGTCTTATAGTAAATGTCAATGCGGATAACTTCTCGTGGATAAACTCACGAACTCTCCCCTGCCTATTAACGGGTAGCTTCTTCGTTATTCGTTACGCGCTAACTGGTATCATAACGGTAAATTTCAAGTCCTAATATTGACTATCATGATTAAGTAGAACAATCGTCTGTCTAACTATAATTAAGATAGTGATTTGAAATGTCCTCGGGAATGATCGGAGCAATAACAGCTGACTACATGTGCTTTTATTGGTTTCAATGACTCGCTGTAATTCTAATGCCATCGAATGGAACTTTTCTTCCTTGATTTCACCATCCTTCAATGTTGTTCATCGAAGAATGAATTGAGCTACCCGCAATAACTGCTATATCTAATGGATCTTCGTCGGCCAATGATAAATGATTAAACGTTGCCGTAAGAGATAAAAATATACAATAGCAGGTGCTGATCTACTCTGATGAATGAAAAGAAAAAAAACTTATGGAATAAACATTCTTCATCTGCATTCGAATCAATTAATGTTTATTGACTAAATTACAAAGTAACAATGAGGTAGGACAATGAGTTCAAAAAGCATAAACAAAAATTATGTATCAAATTGAAGGCTAATTAAAAATAGGATTACTGCGTATGCTATCGATAATTCATCAGATGACGATAGTCTTTAGAGTGATAAAATTGTTTGAAATTTTAGACATATATTGAGGGTTTTTGAGGACATTTTATAATAAAGACACAAATTTATCAGCGAAGTGTTTGGCTAATTGAACTTTGTAGAACTCTATTTGCTGATGATTTTCATTTGAAAAATATGTTAATTAACTGCAAGAGTCAAAATCTTGGAAAATAGCATAGCTAGAGCAAACAGATATGTATAGTATTTACCAGTATTCTGTCTGTAATACTGTTTACTTGTATATCAATGAAAATCATCAGCAAAGAAACCTCTACAAATTCTGACAGATAAGAAGTTTTGCTGAGAAAAACTTCCAACAATTTTTATTATACTAAACATGATAAACAATTAGATGTATTATGAACTGTACGCGAGAATTCCATTTTATTTAAAAGAAAAGATTTATTTCACTGATTTTCAATTTTTATTATTTAATTAATAGACTTTTGGATATACCAAGTTGAATGCAAACCAAATCCTCAGATGCATACAATGTTCATGTTTACTATAATCCAACATGATGCTTGTACAATATTGAAGAAAGATTATAATGATGAAAAATACTTTGATTATTAAAAAATTTATTAATCGTTATCAAGGATAACAATTATATAACCAAAATGTGAACAAGTTTCATCAACCATTTAACAATCTAAATGTTAATAGAAAATAAGTTTTTCTTATTGGCTAGTAAAGATTCAAAGAAATCAAAGTAGAAAAATCTATATACTGTCAAATAAATCTTAAAATTACTTCTCAAAACTATTCTTGGATGAATAGCAATGTAAATCAATTTCTAAATGAATGCTTCCTCTTTTCAAATTAATAGGTTCATCATTGATAAAGTTTCAGTGTCTGACTTAGGCAGCTGCGAGTCTTTACCCAGAAATTTAGTTTCTATCGGATCCATTGTTCGAAAAAATGTGCACCGGCGGTTCTCTAATTGAATGCCCTATTAAGCTTATTTAATAATTCATAAACTTCATCCTACGTATCGATGATTACTCACGCTTTATGCATGATCTAGATGAAGCAGCATATTAATAGAATAAGATCAATATAACAAGTTTATTCAAGTTCAGAGAAGAATGTATATTTTAGAGAGAATGATAGAGAAAATTAACAATTCAAGTTCAAGACAAACATACAGACAAAGAAGAAGAATTAACGACTTTTAATTAAGTTTTAATTTCACAGTTTCTTTTTCATTTTAACCAAATATATATAAATCTGACTATATGTATATATTGAATGTCTTTTTGTTGCTTGTTTTTTACAAATGTATTGTTATTTTTTATTTTATTTGGACTTTTTCAAATCTTTATCAACTTGATTAATCAATGATTTCAATTTTTCCCATTGATCACCAGTCAAACTAATACCTAAAAATGAACAAACAATTATATAATACAACAAAAAAAAACGAACAGTTTTTTTTTCATACTGTACCTTTCTTGCCTGGTTTTTCTACGCCCTTGTCTTCATAATATTCACGAATATTGACATATGGTTTACCTCTAAATTCACTTACTGATACATAGCGTAATTTACCAATCTATAAGAACATCAAAATTAGAAATCAAAAGTAACACTAAGTAAAATTGTTTACTTCATAAAGCCGTTCACCATTAAGTCCAGATTTCGAAGCAACAGCACCATTTTCTTCATCGGTTGTTTTAGCTCGTTTAGCTGGTGGCTAATTTAAATGAAAAATAAAATGAAAAACTAAATAGAAAATATTTTTCACAGAAACTACTTACATTCCGCTTATCATCTGAACCTTCGACTTTTGTTTTTTTTTGTGTTGCTTTTGCGCCTGACTCGTTGTCGCTGCCTGATTCAGAACTATCAAGAAATTCTTTTGATTTAGGCATTGTTTGAAATAATCAGTTAGATAAAATCTGAAATATAAAAAAAATATTTGTTTAACGTTTTAATTCCATTAAAACAAATTCATAAACAACAAATGTTATACAACAAGCTGGTACAACTCTATAGAGTGTTGGTACTATACCCTTGTAAAACCCACCAATACTTTCTCTTTTATATGTTTTCTTAATAACATCAATCACACCATTATATTGTTGATGTTGATCTTGTAAACGTGTTCTTACAACTTGATATGGATATGTTGTACTAACAGCAATTAATTTTGACAATGCTGAAAATGTTAATATAATTGCAGTTGAAAAATCAGTTGTATGAAATTTTTTAGTATAAAAATCTTTCATATGTTCATATGATACAAATTGAATTGTACCATGAACAGTACCAAAAATACCCGGTAGAAGACCTTTATAAAATGCTTTCATTCCTTCCAATTTATATATTTTTTTAATACAATCAAGCATATTTTTATAATGAATACTTGTGTTTGAATTTGAATATTGTAAACACATACGTGTTTTAATAACCCATACTGGATTTACTAAAGATATTGTTGTTACACCAGCTATGGTAGAATACATAAAACGATCTCGAAATCTTAAATTCGTTCTTTTATAATCTTTATTATGTAAAATACCAATAGTATTATATAGAAATAAATAAAGACCCCAAGATACACCATTGCCTAAAACATTGGGTGTTACACCTTGATATAAACCACGAATAAGTCCCTTTTCACGATAAATTGAACGAAACGCATCAAATAGACTAGTATAATGAGGTCGATAAGGTAATGAAGAATTGGGTATTATTGATTTGGTTTCAGTAACTTGAAAACGTATTTTAACTAAATCAAATGGATGAAGTATTAATGATGAGACAACACCACCACTAAGACCAGCAAGAAATTGATCATATTGAATTGTTGATAAAACACGAAATACTAACGAATCATTCATCTAGAGTAAATATTTGAAAATTATTCTCTATAAATGAAATTTAATTAAGTAAATACTTAATAGATATTATTATTCAAATTTTAATTTCAAATACAAACAAAAACAGAATTTCATTTAATATTTGATGCATAGGTTTCATCATCATGTTATCAAATAAATCAAATCATACGATGATAACCTTCATCTAGAAAAATAATATTTCTCTTTACAATTAAATATATCTTTTATTTAAATCAATTCAATTTAAGATTTAAATATCTTGTTCTAATTCAAATAAATAATATAACTAGTTTATTATCAATACACTGAGGATTATGCCTTCGACGATGACTCCTAAATTGATGTCAACATATGATGCAGTATACACAATAGTACTACAGATATGAAAAGTGTTCCCATACCCTGCACGGTAAAGATAAGCGTGTTGCAAGAAAAAGTAAGATAAATCTAAGCATAGTGTAGAATAGAGCTAGGTAAAGGTAGATGTTTCAAAGAGTAGAATTGGGTAAAGGTAAGAAAATTTTTCTCAATCAAAGTATAGAGTATGAGAAAAACTTATCCTGTACATTTCTAGATAGTACATTAGAAGAAGAAAAGGATTGATATCTGTACCTTTATAGTTTTAATAATCTTGTCTTATGATAAAGCTCTTCTCGAATATCTAAAATATTAACCAGTTATATAATTTATTCATAAAATAGTGTACCAAATAGCTTTTACGGTTTTTCCATAATGTCACTAACTCTCATGGCTAAAATTCTTTCTTGACATCTCTATACGAAGTATGAACCGGTTACAATAACTCAAAACGATCTGTTCACTGACTGTTAAGGATTATAATGACGGATATTTAAAAGTAGCCTGGAACTCAATGTTTCAATTTAAGGAATGAGATTTGCTTTTTTTATTTTCCTTTATATTGAAAACTGATAAAAACAAGAGAAAATAATAATAAAAAAGACAGAAATCTTTTGTTAAATATAAATGTATATATTTAAAATATCTTTTCTCCAGATTATTGTCTAGTATCTTGAAGAACATGCTCAGCATCAAGAGAAACAATAAGTTTATGTTTAATATCACCAAGACAAACAAGTTTATTCATATCATTATTTGTTCCATGTTCATCATTAATATTTGTTGAAGCCATTTCTGTTACCATAACATTTTGTAAAAATGATGTCGGTTGTCCAATATCAACATCAAGATATGTATCATCATTTAATTTTAAACGACATTTACCAGATTTATATATTTGTAATTTACCAAGAAAACCATCAGGTAAATCACTTAATGAAGCTAATTCAGGTTTTGTTGATGATGATGATGTACGTGTACATGGTAAAACATCAGGAAATTGCATAAGAATAAGTTGCGTTGGATCATATATCGATTCTTTGGATTTTGGAATATCTGTTGGTTCGATTGGCTCATCTTTAACAATTGATTTTATTGATGAATCAAGTTTTTGTTGAGAAAATAATTCAACAAATGAATCAATATGTTCAGAAGTTTTTGAAATTGTTTCTTTGAGTTTTTTTGTAATACCTGGTTCTTTTTTTATATCAAATACAGATCTTCGATGAGCAAGTGGAATTAAACGAGGTTCATTTTCTTCATCAATTTCATATTTAAGACCATCAACATCACCAATTAATGTTGTTTTTGTTGTTCCAAGTTTTTTTATATTCGGTAATTTTGTATTAGGTGATGAAATTTCACGTTTAATCGATGTGCGAGAAGGAAAAGATGATGAATTCGTAGGTGCAACTGGTATTTGAGCATTACCTTGAAAAATACCTTCCGTTTGAATATAATTGTCACGAGCATGACCACCTCGATAACTAGCACCTCTACCACGACCTGTTTGAGGTTTATTACCATTAATATGATCTTTTTTATTTATAGATGATATATTATTATTTGAAGTGGATGCTGAATTATTATTAGTAGAGTCAGTTTTATCTTTGTCTTTTTTTGAGGCAGCTATATTCGGCATAAATTTAGGTGTAGGACGTGCACTAGCACCAAGACCAGCTGCTGTTGTAGATCCAGCACCTAGTTGAGTTTTTAATTGCTTCATTAATCGATCGGCATCTGGAGTAGTTGTTGAAGTTGTAGGACGTGTTAGTGATGAACTGCGAGAAGAAGCTGCGGAGGATGATGAGGAAGCTCTATCGTTGGGCGGAACACCGGCACCACGACCGCGTCCTCGAGTAGACATATCTGAAAATGAAAATGAATTGCTTTTGATTACATCAGATCAAGCATAAAGAAAGAAATTTAGATTACAACATTTTTCTGTTCGTTTTGTTTTTCTATGTTTAGCTTGATAATTTACGATTTTCATCATCTAAAATATGATATATGTGATTCGTCGATTGGAAATCAACGAAGAAACGCCATCTAGATTCTAGTTCTGATTCTTTTAAATTAACCTATTGAGAAAACTTTTAATTATCAAATACAAATGACTTTTCTCACTAGTCATTTGATTTTGCTTATTGATACTTTTTACAAACTGATTATATCTTGATGAATATTAACGACATCTTTAGGATTTTTGAAAAAACTTACAATAAGTATGTATATCATGTGCAAAGTTTTATTTATCAAAGTCAATTTTTTTTCGGTAATTATTGCAAGAAAAATAATTGAGCGATTGTATATCTATTTTAAAATGTTACTAGAAAATTTTTTCAAATAAATTTACTACTATTTTTCTTCATGGCTATTACTGGTTTTAATGATTGTTGTATTGCTTGTTTTTGTCATCATACTGATAGATTTTAATCACATACGTGTCTCGGTGTGACTAACCATTACTTGGGGTCGGTTCGAACTTGAGAATGAAGAAAGTTAAGTCTACCATTGAAAAGACAACGATAAATACGCAGTGAATGAAACAATGACAAAAACAAATGATGTAGCTTACATCATCTTAAATGAAATTTCTTCAGAGAAAAATGATGACGTATAATGAAGAAAAATGATGCAATTTTCGATAATAAAATGAACATTATCTATGATGCTTTTTAAATTCATGGATGAAAATCAAAATATATAGAACGAGAATGATGTCAAAATAATTAATGCAATCTGATGATTCGAGGCTTTTCGAAAGAATGAAAATCATGCAATGAAATAAAGCAACAATAAGTAAACTAAATCCCGTCCCAGAATACAAGGCCACCCTCATTAGAAGGCTACCCCAGGAAAAAAAACTCACAAGGCATAATAGAAGGCCATGGACTTTCCAGAAACTTTCTTTAGAAATCCAGTAGATTTTTATATTTTAGTACTTAAAATATCGGTTTTTTAGTAAAAAAAACCAAGGTTTTGTAGCTAAAATTACTTTTTTTCTAGTAAAAAAACTGATTTTACGGAACTTGGCTGCTAAAAGTGCCTTTTTGAACGCCAGAAAATTTTTCCAACAACCCCTGGTTTTTTAGGTAAATCTTAGCAAAAAATAGCCCACAATAGAAGGCCACCTTTGCAGAAGCGACGTGAATTTCCATAATAGAAGGCCATGACCTTTTATTCTGGGGGGGAGTTTAGTACAATGATTTTTATTTTGCGAAGTAATCAAAATAATGGACTAAAAATGATGTAATAATTTCGATTCTTTGAAATAAACGAATTCATGAAATCAAAAAGATTCCAAAATAATAAAACTAATCGAATGATTTCGGTATCTATGAGATAACTAAAAACATGAAATTTTTTTGTGTAATAGTTTTGAAAATAACCATTTAAATGAGCTCTTATCTGGATTTTTGAGGTTCATGACTAAATAGTATATGAAATGGCGGCGTTTCTTTATATTCCTGAGCGATATTGAATGCTCTGGATATGCGAAACCTTTCTTAGAATGAAAAACTTAGTTATCAATTGATCGGATACGCAGTTCTTTTTCAACAATATGAACCTTCGTACATATGTTAGATGTCTACGGATTAAGATAATGTGTTCAAAAACTATCTCTATTTTTGATGAAGTTCCATAATGAAAGTCGCTTATGTTACTAATTCTTCCAACTCCACCTGTCACACACAGTGAACAACCATGTGAAGATTTGGTGGAAAAATGAAAATTATACTCTTTGTGATTTTAATAATGTCTAATATACTTACTTTAGCCAATCGCCAACTGTTTGATCTAAAAAACACGTTATTCAAACTTGTTTTAAGGGTCTGAGAAAGTCCTTGGTCGAGAAAATGGCCAGATTTCGGTCATCTTAGAGGGAAGTATCTTTGTCCAAAGAATGTAGAAAGATCTACGGAATAAGTCATAGAACTTTCGCTCTATCGTTCTATATGAAAAACATTGTTCTAAGTTTCTCTGTAAAGAAAAAGTATGGATGCTCTCTCAACCAAGAAGATTTTCCAAAAAAAGATGTGTTGAATGTAGTCGACGCACACAATTTAGGACAGTTTCAGACACGATGAAACTTTCATAAAATATTGTTCTTTGTCTGACACATCTACTCAGTTAGTAGAAAAATGTGTACATGCTTATGGATTGAGATACAGATTTTCTTAAAAAATCTTCCTTTTTAAAATTTTTCCGTATTCATTTGTTTCAGAACTACTTTGAGACAAAAATAAATATATGTTTGGAATTATCACGAAAAAAATACATCTTTTATTGAAAATGTTCTTTAACAAATTTCACTTTTTCCTATCAATCTTAAGTGCTGGAAATGAATATTTCTATGACAGAAAATAAAACATGTCCGCATACTCTATAGAAATTGTCCATTGTATCACAACCATTTTGAGCACTGCTTGATTTAATATTCGTACCCATTTTCTAGAAATATTGTTTCACAGAATTTCATTAGTAACTACATTTTGCGGTATTTTTTCAGACCATTGAGTGCTTTCCACTGTTTTTGTTGATAAGTATACACATATTTGAAATTCACGTTGAATTCTGAATAAAATGAAGTATTTAGTTAATCAAAACTTCAACTTCTATTTTCACTTTGAACGTTTCGAATAATAAGTATGATAGCCGTAATTTTTCTATTATAAATCCAACATGAAAACTAATAGTATAGATTGATACAGTTTTTCATGCTCTACAAAATGACGTATCAATCATGTTCATCGATAAATCTATTCAGGGTTGTATAGATACGCTATCGTACCTGTCTGACTCTGCATGAACTAATTGATGAACATCATCGATATGTCATATTGTAGAGTATGTAAAATTACGTCAATCTGCATTATTAGTTTTCATATTGAGTTTGCAAAAGAAGAAGGAGGTCACAGATTTACGATCTTCTTCGTCGATATCTTTTCTCGTTCAAATCTAGCGAAATATACACTATTTGATGTAGAACTCGATGCTGTTGGCGAATAACTAGTTGCTTTTGGCTTTTTTCCTTTCATCATGAATCAAGCTGACATTTTCAGAGAAAAGACGAGGTTTTGTTTAGCTTGTTATTCGGTATAGTTATGTTTGCTTGGATATAACCAGACTATTCTGAAAGCTCGTTAAAAACTGAACAACTTTTATATAGAAAGTTTATTTTGTATGTTGCTTCTTTTCGTAGTAAAATGTCAAGCTCTCAGCTTTGTTACAAAAAATTCTGTAACGGTCAATATTTTCTAAATAACTTACGATAGAACTATCCCGTGTGATAGCTTAAGTTTGAGATAATACATTCCTTATGTAATACGATTTGCTAAGACTAGAAAAGGACTAGAACCAAGTTTCAGGTCAAAATTCGATCGTTTAATTTTTTTAATAAGTACCGTTAGCAGGATAAAAAGAACTCAGTGAAACGGCCATAACTGCAGAAGCATGGTATATAGGAAGGAATCCTTCAAGGAAATTTCTAGTCTCAATAGACCTTACCTAATGAGAAGTATCTCATTTGAAGCACGAAGTGCCACCCAGGCTGATTCTCTTTGTCAGCTTGAGGTAAAGAGATTGTCATAGACGAGAAATAGATATTATAACGTAAAAAAAAACAAGAATGAAATTCTGTAACGATTGACCATGCCGATCTTTTGTTGAAAAATGAAAATAATGCAATTTATGATTTTTTTTCCTTTTGTATTATTATCTATATTATATGAAGATTTGTATGCTGTTGAACATGTTGTGAAAATTTAGTAGAAAAAATTGTGTCAAAAAATGTTTGAGTTTCTATCACAACATATATTCTTCGATGGAAAAATGAATGGTGACGATGCTGACAATGTTTTTAACAGCGCCTTTCTATTTACATCATTGATTGACAATCAGTTGCGAAAAATATAAATTACAAGCTATATAACATATCTCAAGATTAGCCAAGTAAATAACCGGATGATATTCAGACATTAGCACCTTAAGTAAAAAATATATATCTCTCGATCGAATCATATTCATAAGCTTCCGTCCGTTTTTATACTGTGCAATAAACAATTGTTAATCAATATTTTTTTTCCAAGTTATATGCTAATGATAAAATATACGTGTTAAATTCTTTTGTCTTCGATATGTTTGATTAAATGAGGGTGGTCCAAAATTTCACGTAAGATTTTATTTGAAGATACACGTGTGCATGTAACACCTTTTTTTGATCAACAACAAGAATCATTTGCCGTCATGATCATACACATGCTAAGTATATACTCTAATCTGTAATCCTCTGTTCTCAGCACGACATTTTCTTTTTTGCCTTTTTTTTTTCTCTGTGTACCTTATTCAAAAAAACAAATTAAACAACACCTTTTCCAATAGTACTAGCCATTCACTTGAACTGTTGGTGGTCTCTATATATGTATATATATATCGTTTCATTGGATGATTGAGTCACACCATCTTCATCATCAAGAAGTTGTATACTTGTGGTTTCTTAAGCAAACTGAACTATGTGGATCAATGTATGCACAGAATGACAAGGCTTCCTTTGAACATATTTTCAATCATATAGTGCCGCACGTTCACGCACACGCGTTTATTTGTGCAAGCAAATTGAGATTTTCATCGATTGTTACCCGTCGTTCTCCATGGCATCGTCAAGTTTGTTGTACGAATTCATTTCTCGTCATTACCGTCATGCGCACACAGTTGTGTAGTCAATATTGATGAATCTGTCGAGCAAATATTAATCCCTTTTCTTTTTCTTCTTTTTTTCTTTGTCAATCATTGATAGTGAAAATAGACTCACTAGATAGATGATTGGTGTTCGTCTTATTTAATAGAAAAAAAAATGGGAACTGC